GGACCCCTAATAGGGGAGGGGAACCCCTAAGTGAGGATATGGGAACCCCCAGGCGGGTATGGGGACATAAGGACCCCTAAGGGGGTATGGGGACCCCTAAGGGGGGATATGGGGACCCATGAGGTGATACGGGGGCATAAAGACCCCTAAGGAGATATGGGGACCCCCAGGGGGGGATACGGGGACCCAAGGACCCCTAAGGAGGTATGGGGACCCCTAAGGGGGGATATGGGGACCCACGAGGTGATACGGGGGCATAAAGACCCCTAAGGAGATATGGGGACCCCCAGGGGGGGATATGGGGACCCAAGGACCCCTAAGGAGGTATGGGGACCCCTAAGGGTGGTATGGGGACCCCTAAGGGGAATATGGGGGCACAAGGACCCCTAAGTGGGTATGGGGACCCCCAGAGGGGAATATGGGGGCATATGGACCCCTAAGGGGGTATGGGGATCCCTAAGAAGAGATATGGGGCTGTAGGACCCCCAAGGGGACGGGATGGAGATAAGGGGACTCTGAGGGGCTATGGGGACCCCTGGGGGGCATATGGGGACACCCAGGGGGGTTTAGGGCCATAAGGGCCCTTAAGAGGGGATATGGGGACCCCTAAGGGAGGATATGGGGGCATAAGGGCCCCTAAGGGGATATGGGAACCCTAAGGGGGGATATGGGGGCATAAGGGCCCCTAAGGGGGGATATGGGGACCCCTAAGGGGGGATATGGGGGTATAAGGGCCCCTAAGGGGGGATATGGGGACCCCTAAGGGGGGATATGGGGGCATAAGGACCACTAAGGAGTTATGGGGACCCCTAAGAGTGATATGGGGACCTCTGGGAGGAATACGGGGGCAGAAGGACCCCTAAGTGGGTATGGGGACCCCTAAAGGGGGATATGGGGATCCCCAGGGGGGAATATGGGGGCATATGGACCCCTAAGGGGGTATGGGGACCCTTAAGAGGAGATATGGGGCTGTAGGACCCTAAAGGGGACGGGATGGAGATAAGGGGACTCTGAGGGGGCATGGGGACCCCTGGGCGGCATATGGGGACACCCAGGGGGGTTTAGGGCCATAAGGGCCCTTAAGGGGGTATGGGAACCGCTAGGGGGGATATGGGGGCATAAGGACCCCTAAGGGGATATGGGGACCCCTAAGGGGGGATATGGGGACCCCTAAGGGGGGATATGGGGGCATAAGGGCCCCTAAGGGGATATGGGGACCCCTAAGGAGGGATATGGGGGCATAAGGACCCCTAAGGGGATATGGGGACCACTGGGGGGGGATATGGGGGCCACTGGGGGGGGATATGGGGACATGAGGACCCCTAAGGAGTTATGGGGACCCCTAAGAGTGATATGGGGACCACTGGGGGGAATACGGGGGCAGAAAGACCCCTAAGTGGGTATGGGGACCCCTAAAGGGGGATATGGGGATCCCCAGGGGGGAATATGGGGGCATATGGACCCCTAAGGGGGTATGGGGACCCTTAAGAGGAGATATGGGGCTGTAGGACCCTAAAGGGGAAGGGATGGAGATAAGGGGACTCTGAGGGGGTATGGGGACCCCTAAGGGTGATAGTGGGACCCCTGGAGGGAATATGGGGGCATAAGGACCCCTAAGGGGGGAGGGGGACACCTAAGTGAGGATATGGGGACCCCTAAGGGGGGATATGGGGACATAAGGGACCTTAAGGGGGTATGGAGACCCCTCAGGGGGGGATATGGGGACCCACGAGGTGATACGGGGGCATAAAGACCCCTAAGGAGATATGGGGACCCCCAGGGGGGATATGGGGACCCAAGGACCCCTAAGGAGGTATGGGGACCCCTAAGGGTGGTATGGGGACCCCTGGGGGGGATATGGGGACGTAAGGACCCCTAAGGGGGTATGGGGACCCCCAGAGGGGAATATGGGGGCATATGGACCCCTAAGGGGGTATGGGGATCCCTAAGAAGAGATATGGGGCTGTAGGACCCCCAAGGGGACGGGATGGAGATAAGGGGACTCTGAGGGGGTATGGGGACCCCTGGGGGGCATATGGGGACACCCAGGGGGGTTTAGGGCCATAAGGGCCCTTAAGAGGGGATATGGGGACCCCTAAAGGGGGGATATGGGGGCATAAGGACCCCTAAGGGGATATGGGGACCCCTAAGGGTGATATGGGGAACCCTAAGGGTGATATGGGGAACCCCTGGGGGGATATGGGTACATAAGGAACCTTAAAGGGGGATGGGGAGCCCTAAGGGGATATCGGGACCCCCAGGGAGGTATAGGGACATAAGGACCCCTAAGGGGGGATGGGGACCCCTAAGAGTGATATGGGGACCACTGGGGGGGATATGGGGACCCCCAGGGGGGTATGGGGACATAAGGACCCCTAAGGAGGTATGGGGACCCCTAAGGGGAATATGGGGGCACAAGGACCCCTAAAGGGATATGGGGATCCCTAAAGGGTGAATATGGGGACCCCTAAGGGGGGTATGGGGACCCCCAGGGGGGTATGGGGACATGAGGACCCCTAAGGGGGAATGGGGATCCCTAAGGGGGGATATGGGGGCACAAGGACCCCTAAGGGGGGATGGGGACCCCAAAGGAAGGATATGGGGACACATGAGGGGATATGGGGACATAAGGGACCTTAAGGGGGTATGGAGACCCCTCAGGGGGGGATATGGGGACCACGAGGTGATACGGGGGCATAAAGACCCCTAAGGAGATATGGGGACCCCTAAGGGTGATATGGGGACCCCTAAGGGGGGTATGGGGACCCATGAGGAGATATGGGGGCATAAGGACCCCTAAGGGGATATGGGGACCACTGGGGGGGGATATGGGGGCCACTGGGGGGGGATATGGGGACATGAGGACCCCTAAGGAGTTATGGGGACCCCTAAGGGGGGTATGGGGACCACTGGGGGGGATATGGGGGCACAAAGACCCCTAAAGGGGGATGGGGACCCCTAAAGGGTGAATATGGGGACCCCTAAGGGGGGTATGGGGGCATAAGGACCCCTAAGGGGATATGGGGACCACTGAGGGGGGATATGGGGGCCACTGGGGGGGATATGGGGACCCCTAAGAGTGATATGGGGACCCCTAAGGGGGGTATGGGGACCACTGGGGGGGATATGGGGGCACAAAGACCCCTAAAGGGGGATGGGGACCCCTAAGAGTGATATGGGGACCCCTAAGGGGGGTATGGAGACCCCTCAGGGGGGGATATGGGGACCCACGAGGTGATATGGGGGCATAAAGACCCCTAAGGAGATATGGGGACACCCAGGGGGGGATATGGGGACCCAAGGACCCCTAAGGAGGTATGGGGACCCCTAAGGGTGGTATGGGGACCCCTAAGGGGAATACGGGGGCACAAGGACCCCTAAGTGGGTATGGGGACCCCTAAGGGTGATATGGGGACCCCCAGGGGGGTATGGGGACATAAGGACCCCTAAGGGGGTATGGGGATACCTAAGGGGGGATATGGGGGCATAAGGACCCCTAAGGGTGATATGGGGAACCCTAAGGGTGATATGGGGACCACTGGGGGGGATATGGGGACATGAGGACCCCTAAGGGGGGATGGGGACCCCTAAGAGTGATATGGGGACCACTGGGGGGGATATGGGGACATGAGGACCCCTAAGTGGGTATGGGGATCCCTAAAGGGGGATATGGGGGCATATGGACCCCTAAGGGGGTATGGGGATCCCTAAGAGGAGATATGGGGCTGTAGGACCCCCAAGGGGATGGGATGGAGATAAGGGGACTCTGAGGGGGTATGGGGACCCCTGGGGCGGGATATGGGGACACCCAGGGGGGTTTAGGGGCATAAGGGCCCTTAAGAGGGGATATGGGAACCGCTAGGGGGGATATGGGGGCATAAGGACCCCTAAGGGGATATGGGGACCCCTAAGGGGGGATATGGGGGCATAAGGACCCCTAAGGGGATATGGGGACCCCTAAGGAGGGATATGGGGGCATAAGGGCCCCTAAGGGGATATGGGGACCCCTAAGGGGGGATATGGGGGCATAAGGACCCCTAAGGGGATATGGGGACCCCTAAGGGGGGATATGGGGGCATAAGGGCCCTTAAGGGGGGATATGGGGACCCCTAAGGAGGGATATGGGGGCATAAGGGCCCCTAAGGGGGTATGGGGAACAAAGGACCCTTCAGGAGGTATGGGGACCCTTAAGGGAAGGAAATGGGGCAGGGGGCCACGCCGATGCCGGGGACACCACTAGAGGAGCACCCCACTGCCATCCCAGCCCCATAACCGAACCGCCCCCCTGCCATCCCAGCCCCATAACCGAACCGCCCCACTGCCATCCCAGCCCCATAACCGAACCGCCCCACTGCCATCCCAGCCCCATAACCGAACCGCCCCCACTGCCATCCCAGCCCCATAACCGAACCGCCCCCACTGCCATCCCAGCCCCATAACCGAACCGCCCCACTGCCATCCCAGCCCCATAACCGAACCGCCCCCCTGCCATCCCAGCCCCATAACCGAACCGCCCCACTGCCATCCCAGCCCCATAACCGAACCGCCCCCACTGCCATCCCAGCCCCATAACCGAACCGCCCCCACTGCCATCCCAGCCCCATAACCGAACCGCCCCCACTGCCATCCCAGCCCCATAACCGAACCGCCCCACTGCCATCCCAGCCCCATAACCGAACCGCCCCACTGCCATCCCAGCCCCATAACCGAACCGCCCCACTGCCATCCCAGCCCCATAACCGAACCGCCCCCCTGCCATCCCAGCCCCATAACCGAACCGCCCCACTGCCATCCCAGCCCCATACCTTCCCCCCCCCCACTGCCACCCCAGCCCCATACCTTCCCCCCCCCCACTGCCACCCCAGCCCCATACCTTCCCCCCCCCCACTGCCATCCCAGCCCCATACCTTTCCCCCCCCCCCACTGCCATCCCAGCCCCATAACCGAACCGCCCCCACTGCCATCCCAGCCCCATACCTTCCCCCCCCATCCCCACATACCTGCCTCCTTCCTCCTGCTCCCCAGACCTTGGGGGCAGAGCCGGGGGGCTCTCGGGGGTCCCCGCTTTGCCTTCGTGGTGTCTTTTAGCCGGCAGGGGGGGGGCGAGGAGGGGGGGGGGGGGCCACCCCATAATCCGTGGGTCGGCCGGCAGGGGAGGAAGGACCGAAAACGGGGGGGGGTCTGCAGCTCAACCTGGGGGGGACGGGGGGGGGGGGAGGAGGCCGGGGGGCCGGGGGGCTCCATAGGAGAGAGGGGGGGAAGGAAGACGCGACGCGGAGCGGGGACGGGTTTGGGGCCGGGGGGATGGGGGGAAGGGGGCAGAGGGGGCAAAGCTTTGCGCAGCCCTAAAAGGATGCGGCGGCGATGGCCGGGCAGCCGGACCCCCAGCTGGGTCAGATCCGCCTCGGCCAGGCGGCGGCAATCGGCCACGGTGAGCAGGCGGCGCTGCGCGAAGGCGCCGCTGTATTGGCCCAGGTGCAGGGCGGCCAACCACGAGGAGACCGGCACCGAACCGTCGGCATCCATGGGGGGATGGAGAGGGGGTGGGGGGCAGAGCATCGGGGGCTGCGAGGGGAGAAAGGGGGTGAGGGGGGAGGGGAGCCCAAGGCCAGTGCCAAGCCCAGTGCCAACCCCAGTGCCAAGCCCAAATGCCAACCCCAATCCCAAATCCCAATGCCAACCCCAAACCCCAACCCCAATCACAACCCCAAATCCCAATGCCAACCCCAATGCCAACCCCAATCTCAACCCCAATCTCAACCCCAATGCCAACCTCAACCCCAAATCCCAACCCAAATCCCAACCCAAATCCCAAATCCCAACCCCAACCCCAAATGCCAACCCCAATCACAACCCCAATCACAACCCCAATGCCAACCCCAAATGCCAACCCCAAATCCCAACCCCAACCCCAACTCCAACCCCAACCCCAATCCCAATCCCAACCCCAATCTCAACCCCAATGCCAACCCCAACCCCAACCCCAACCCCAAATCCCAGTGCCAACCCCAATGCCAACCCCAACCCCAACCCCAAATCCCAGTGCCAACCCCAAATCCCAACCCCAACCCCAACTCCAACCCCAACCCCAATCCCAATCCCAACCCCAATCTCAACCCCAACTCCAACCCCAACCCCAATCCCAATCCCAACCCCAATCTCAACCCCAATGCCAACCCCAACCCCAACCCCAACCCCAAATCCCAGTGCCAACCCCAAATGCCAACCCCAACCCCAACCCCAAATCCCAGTGCCAACCCCAATGCCAACCCCAACCCCAATCCCAAATCCCAATGCCAACCCCAATGCCAAACCCAACCCCAAATCCCAGTGCCAACCCCAATGCCAACCCCAACCCCAAATCCCAGTGCCAACCCCAATGCCAACCCCAATCACAACCCCAACCCCAAATCCCAATGCCAACCCCAATGCCAACCCCAACCCCAAATCCCAGTGCCAACCCCAATGCCAACCCCAACCCCAACCCCAAATCCCAGTGCCAACCCCAATGCCAACCCCAACCCCAACCCCAATCCCAAATCCCAATGCCAAGCCCAAATGCCAACCCCAACCCCAAATCCCAATGCCAACCCCAATGCCAACCCCAATGCCAACCCCAACCCCAAATCCCAATGCCAACCCCAATGCCAACCCCAATCACAACCCCAATCCCAAATCCCAATGCCAAGCCCAAATGCCAACCCCAAACCCAAATCCCAACCCCAATGCCAACCCCAATGCCAACCCCAAATGCCAACCCCAACCCCAACTCCAATGCCAACCCCAACCCCAAATCCCAATGCCAACCCCAAATGCCAACCCCAATGCCAAATCCCAATGCCAACTCGAACCCCAATGCCAACCCCAAATGCCAACCCCAATGCCAAATCCCAATGCCAACCCCAACCCCAACCCCAATCCCAACCCCAACCCCAATGCCAACCCCAACCCGAACCCCAAATCCCAATGCCAACCCCAACCCCAAACACCAGCCCCAACCCCAAATGCCAACCCCAACCCCAAATCCCAATGCCAACCCCAAACCCCAACCCCAATCCCAACCCCAAATCCCAATGCCAACCCCAATCTCAACCCCAATCTCAACCCCAACCCCAATCCCAAATCCCAACCCCAAATCCCAACCCCAACCCCAAATGCCAACCCCAACCCCAACCCCAATGCCAACCCCAACCCAACCCCAACTCCAACCCCAATCTCAACCCCAATCCCAATCCCAGTGCCAAATCCCAGTGCCAACCCCAATCTCAACTCCAAATCTCCTAACCCTAACGCCAACCCCAACCCCAAATCCCAACCCCAATCCCAAATCCCAATGCCAACCCCAATCCCAACCCCAAATGCCAACAGCAATCGCAACCCCAACCCCAATCCCAACCCCAAATGCCAACCCAAATCCCAACCCCAATCACAAATCCCAACCCCAAATGCCAACCCCAAATCCCAACCCCAACCCCAAATCCCAACCCCAAATGCCAACAGCAATCGCAACCCCAAATGCCAACCCAAATCCCAACCCCAACTCCAATGCCAACCCCAAATCCCAACCCCAATGCCAACCTCAATCCCAAATCCCAATCCCAACCCCAATCCCAATGCCAACCCCAATGCCAACCCCAACCCCAACCCCAAATGCCAACAGTAATCCCAACCGCAACCCCAATCCCAAATCCCAACCCCAACCCCAAATCCCAACCCAAATCCCATCCCCAATCCCAAATCCCAATGCCAACCCCAATGCCAACCCCAAATCCCAATGCTGACCCCAATCTCAACTCCAAATCTCAACCCCAATCCCAACCCCAAATCCCAGACCCAATCCCAACCCCAACCCCAAATGCCAACCCCAACCCCAAATCTAAACCCCAATCCCAACCCCAACCCCAAATCCCAATGCCAACCCCAAACCCCAACCCCAAATCCCAATCCCAACCCCAAATCCCAATGCCAACCCCAATCACAACTCCAAATCCCAACCCCAACACCAACCCCAAATCCCAACCCCAACACCAACCCCAAATCCCAATGCCAACCCCAATCTCAACTCCAAATCTCAACCCCAATCCCAACCCCAATGCCAACCCCAAATCCCAACCCCAACCCCAACCCCAAATCTCAACCCCAACCCCAAATGCCAACCCCAACCCCAACATCAAATGCCAACCCCAACCCCAAATCCCAATGCCAATCCCAATCACAACCCCAAATCCCAAATCCCAACCCCAAATGCCAACAGCAATCCCAACTCCAAATCCCAACACCAACCCCAACCCCAATCCCAACCCCAAATCCCAACCTCAACCCCAACCCCAACCCCAACCCCAAATCCCAACCCCAACCCCAACCCCAACCCCAACCCCAACCCCAATCCCAACCCCAACCCCAATCCCAACCCCAACCCCAAATCCCAACCCCAACACCAACCCCAACCCCAATCCCAACCCCAAATCCCAACCTCAACCCCAACCCCAACCCCAACCCCAAATCCCAACCCCAACCCCAACCCCAATCCCAACCCCAACCCCAAATCCCAACCCCAACACCAACCCCAACCCCAATCCCAACCCCAAATCCCAACCTCAACCCCAATCCCAACCCCAACCCCAAATCCCAACCCCAACACCAACCCCAACCCCAATGCCAACCCCAAATCCCAACCTCAACCCCAACCCCAACCCCAACCCCAAATCCCAACCCCAACCCCAATCTCAACCCCAACCCCAAATCCCAACCCCAACCCCAACCCCAACCCCAACCCCAACCCCAACCCCAAATCCCAACCTCAACCCCAACCCCAACCCCAACCCCAAATCCCAACCCCAACCCCAACCCCAACCCCAAATCCCAACCTCAACCCCTCCCCCCAAATCGCAGGGGGACGATGGGGGGAGCTGGGGACACAATGGGGACAAGGGAGGACAACAGGGGGACAATGGGACACAATGGGGGACAATGGGGGGAGTTTGGGACACGAGGGGAACAATGGGGGGACGATGGGACTCAATGACACACAGTGGGGACAATGGGGGGAGTTTGGGACATCATGGGGACAGCGGGGGACAATGGGGACAACAGGGGGACGATGGGGGGAGCTTGGGACATGACGGGGACAAGGGGGGACAGTGGGGGACAGTGGGGTGACAAAGGGGAGCTTGGGACGCAATGGGGACAATGGGGGGACAATAAGGGGCAATGGGGGACAATGGGGACAATAGGGAGACGATGGGGGGAGCTTGGGACAGAATGGGGCACAATGGGGACAAGAGGGGGATAACAGAGGAAGCTTGGGACACAGTGGGGACAATGGGGGACAATGGGGGGAGTTTGGGACATGATGGGGACAAGGGGGGACAGTGGGGACAATGGGGGACAAAGAGGACAATGGGGGAGTTTGGGACACGAGGGGGACAATGGGGCACAATGGGAACAACGGGGGGACAATGGGACACAATGGGGATGGTGGGGACAAGAGGGGACAAGGGGGACAAGGGGGAGCTTGGGACACGATGGGGACAAAGGGGGACAGTGGGGAGCTTGGGATACAATGGGGACAAGGGGGGGACAATGGGGGATAATAGAGAGACAATGAGTTCAGGACACGATGGGGACAATGGGGGTAATAGGGGACAATGGGACACAATGGGGGACAGTGGGACACAGTTGGGGGGACAGTGTGGGAGCTTGGCACAAAATGGGGACAATGGGGGAGCTTGGGACACAATGGTGACAGTGGGGGACAATAGGGGGACAATGGAGACAATGGGGACACAATGGAGACAATGGGGGACAATAGGGGGACAATGGAGACAATGGGGAAACAATGGAGACAATGGGGGAGCTTGGGACACAATGGGGACAATGGGGGGACAATGGGACACGATGGGGATGACGGGGACAATGGGGGACAATGGGGACAATAGAGGGAGCTTGGGACACAATGGGGACAAGGGGGGACAGTGGGGAGCTTGGGACACAACGGGGACAATAGGGGACAATGGGGACACAATGGGGGACAATGGGGGACACAATAGGGGACAATGGGGGACACAATGGGGACAATGGGGGGAGTTTGGGACAGGAGGGGGACAATGGGG